ATGGACTGCCAAGAAAAGAAACAGATTCATCCTGGAAAGGTTAAATGAGGCGGCTCCCTGGAGGCAAGGATTATGAGGCTCCGTCTAACATACTTTGGATATGTTGTAAGGAGGAACAGGTCCTTGGAGAGGGATATCATGCTTGGTAGGATGGAGGGACAGTGCAGGAGAGGTAGGCCCTCTATGAGGTGGATTGATTCAGTGACTGGGGTAATCGGGATGGGTGTGTCAGAGACAATGCAATTGGCACAGGACAGAGCAGGATTTAGGGCTGCTGTACATAGGGTCGCTATGAGTCGCAAGAGACTTGACGGCATATAACAACAACAACAACATTTCTTTCTTAACAATGTCCAATATTCCTACATTCATTCTTCTCACATTCCACGTTCCAATCACTAGTGTTTGCTTACAGCTGTTGCTCCTTCTTTGGGTTTCCATATTTGAGGTCTCAGCCTCAGTTGCCTTATCTGCTAGTCTAAGTGTGCTCTATTGTACATAGGGTTTTCGAAACCTAGTATTTCGAAAGTGGATGGCTAATCCTTGTCCCTAGTCTGTCTTCATATGAATGCTCAGATTTTAGAATAGTATCTTTCAGACTAGCATTTTACAGAAAAGAGCAGATAAAAGACATTTCCTGTTATAAAAGTAACCAATAGATTCAGTATACAGAGCATAAATATATCTTCCAAAGAAAACTGCAAATGTCACAGGACTGTCACCAATTTTAAGCAAGGTAAAATAGCTAAAAAATTTGGTACCTCAATTTCTATTACCTATAAACTGGAGATAACTATGACATTATCTCCATATCTTATAGAATTATTGTGATGATTAAAATGAAATAATATAGTGAAGTATTCAGAAAAATACTTGCACTAAAGAAAAGGATTTCTTTAGGAATTTAGTACTCAATTACTATGGAAATGGTCTTTATATTTAATATTTGGGTAATTTCATTTTTATGACAGGCTAGTTTCTAGGAAACAGTGGTCTATTATTCTATGAACTATATAGTTCAGGCTTATGAATGATCATTAACATACTGTTCTGAACCACTAAATTAAGCCTGGGGTTTGCTGATTAAGATTTTAATAGTCCTCATCATACATAAAAAATGGTAAAAAACCCCCTCCAACAAACCATTCCTGCTAGATATCTCAATACTGCTGATATTCTTTGATTAGTTGTTAATGTACTATCAAGTTGGGTATAACTCATACCAGCTCTATGAACAACAGATCTGAACTCTATCCTATTCTGCACCATCTTTATAATCTCTGACACACTTGAACCCATTGCTTAGTCACTGTGTGTCAACTCACTTCACTGAAGATCTTCCTCTCTCTCCCTGACCCTCTACCTTTCCAAGCATGATCTCCATTTCCAAGGTATAGCCTCTCCCAACAAATTGTCCAAAGTATCTGAGCTGAAGTTTTGCCATCCTTGGCTGCAAGAAGCTCTGTGAATGTACTTTCTCCAAGACATATTTGGTGTGGGGTTTTTTTTTGTAGTCCATGAGATATTCAGAACTCTTCTCCAATGCCACAACTCAAATGCATCGATTTTTCTATCTTTATTCATTGTCCAGCTCTCCGGCACATATCAAATGAATTGAAAAAAACTCCCAGGGCTTGACTTAGGCACACTTTAGTTTTCAAATTTACATTATTGTTCCTTAGCACTTTGGAGAGCTCCTTTACAATAACTTTCCCAATGCATTGCGACTTTTGATTTCCTGATTGCTGGTGCTACAATTGTTGACTGTGGATCAAGTAAGATGAAATCACTGACAATTTCAATCTTTTCTCTATCTAGCATGAGTTTGCCTATCAGCCCAGGGCTAAGAATTTTTGTCTTCTTGGTTTTGAGACATAATCCATATTGAAGGCTATAGTCTTCGATCTTCTGCAGCAAGTGTTTCAAGTCCTCCTCACTTAGCAAACAAAGCTGTGTCATCTCCATAATGCAGGTTTTGATGGGTCTTCCTCTAATCATGATGCCCATTCCCTGCCACACACAGAGAACTCAGCTTCTTGAATGATTTGCTCAGCATGCAGACAAAATAGGTACAGAGAAAAGATATGGCTTAGACACACATCTTTCTTAATTTTGAACCATGTAGTGTTTCTTTGCTCTGCTCAGACAATAGTTTCTTGGTCTAGGTATAGGTTTTGTGGTTAGATGTGGGATTCTCACTCTTCTCAATGTTTTACATAAAGTCAAATACCTTTATATAGTCAATAAAACACAAATATTCTTCTGATATTCTTTGCTTTCTGCCATCATGTTTGACATCAGTAATAGAAAGCAAAAAATAGATTTAAAAAAACGTTTGCAAGACCATGGTAGAATCTTACGAGCAATGCATTGGGATTAGACTTACTTTGATCTAATTACAGACAATTATATGGTACCATAAAACATACCTAACCAAAAGCTGACATTCTTCATAAAGTGGTATCTTTTGGCTTCTTAAATACAAGCCAATACTCTTTGTATCACTTAAAACCATGTTGGGTCGAGATTCCACCTGTCTTAACCCTGCTTGTGTCACTTCTTCAAGCCACCTGAAAAAGTTACATCGGTCAGCTTTGGATCCATCACATGTATAAAAGAGACGACCCTAAGAGAAAAAATAAGATATTAAAATTTAGTGAGAAAAGGCTATCCTTTTTGTATTGTTTTTACATCTGCTAAAATTTTTATAA